AAAGAGAGATGTATATTATGCTTTCCACATTGTAAATCTTGTAACCCGCAAGTCTAAAATTATAATAATAAATGATAGCGCGATAGCCATTTACTCCTTAAAAAAAAAAATAATAATAATTTTGTAAAAATATTTATAAAAGATTAAATATTATTAATATTATTAAATTAGTTAATAAAATAATTTTATAAAAAAATATTTAAGATATTTAAAAATATTAAAAATTTTTTTTTGATTTTTTAACCAGTTTTTATATATAATTATATATATATATAATTTTATAATTAAATTGAAAAAAAAATTTAAATAATAATAATAATAAATCAATTAAAGTATTTTATAATAAACTTGTTTTTAAAATATTAAAGAATATATATATATAATATTTGTAAGTCAATAGTATAGTAGGTAATACTTCCAGGTCTTCAAATACATGTCTCTAGTTTAATATCTACAGGAGACAAAAAGTATATACATTTTTATTTATAAATTTGCTAAATATTACACATATATTATATTTAATAATTCTTATAAACATAATCAAAATTTGTTAGGCTATATGAAAATGAAATCCTTGATTTTTTTAACAATTGTGAATTAAAAACAAGTAGAAGTACTTAATGTTGTATAAAAAAAAGTTTTTGATTTAACTCTCATATAAGTTTATAGCTCCTTTTGATATAACAGACTCCATATACTTTCAAAAAAAATAATTCAAAGCTAATTTATTCTAATCTGAAGCTTAAAGATCTATTTTAAAAGTAATATTTTTCTAAACTTAAATAAATTGAAAAGATAAAGATTATTTGTTACAAGTATTAATAATCTAGATAAAAATTATTAGGATCAAGTAAATTTAGTGAAGATTTTCAAAATTAAATTGAAATCTAAGCTAGAATGCTAGTTCCATATATGATGAAAATAGTAATGTAATGTTATACTAGTGGCATATCTTGAGAGTCAATAATAACAATAATTAGAATATTAATATTAGTTTTTATAATAATATTTCATATAATCTTCTCCTGGCAAATAGTCAAAAAATATAATTGGATTAATAAAATAGTAGGTTTAAACTAGTAGAACTTATTTTATTCTATAAAAGTTTTATCTAATATAAGCACATTTATTAAATATAAGCTGATTAACCAAAGTAATCAAATTAGTAAAGAAAAATCAGTAGTACTGAAAACAGTATTAATTAGATAATATTAATTTATATTTAGAATAGAAATAGTTTAACTTGTAAAGATACTTAATATATAAATACTGATATTTAATTATACCTAATAAAAATTGCATATATCTAATGTCTTTAGTCAATTAAACTTATGAAAAAAAAAAAACTCTTCCAATTCCCTTCAAATACTTGAAACTTTTTAGAAAACTTTTGAATTGTTTATTGTTTATTTTTATTGTTTATTTTTCTCTCCTTCTCTTATTCTTCACTTCTATTTTATAATCCTTTTTTCAACTTGTTATTTTCTTTTTTCTTTTTTTTCTTTCCTACCAAAGTTAGATTTTCTTTTCTCTTGAAGGTTTTTCTTTTTTTTGAAACACTACTTTATTTTATCACTTCTCTAGTTAATGGATTTTCTTTTCTTAGGAACTATTAAGAAGTAGTAACTTCTCTTAAAATGTGGGTTTTGGAAGATTTTCTCTTTCATGATTTTCAGAAAAAGGATGCATGGTTTACTCTCTCCAGAAGATTGATAGGCTATTATTACCAAAGTTGGTATTGTTTATTGTTGATAGTAAAGACTAGATATACAGTATCTAAGAAGCCATTGTACAATTATTAAAAGTAACTATATATGCTACAAGATTTAATCGTTCGTAACTGTTCTCTCTTTTTTTCTGCCCAGCTTTGTGGAGTATAATGATCATATAATATAGGAAGATTCTGATAATGTGCAGACATATCTTTAGCTTGAATTCTATCTCCATAATTAATTCCCACCAGAAGATAATTGGGATCTCATATTGTATATAGTCTATATATCGATCATCAGGAACTCTTATTTTACGAGGAGTTATACCTATTCTTCTCGTCAGAAGTACCATCATTTCTCACCATATTCCAACAAGTCTGTTGGATAATTTTTGCACTAATCAATTAAACGATTTATAATCCTTTTCCTACCTTCATGTGAAGGATCATAAATATGATGATTCAAACCTTTACTGTACATAGCTGAATATGTCAGATAAATCTCTTCAACCTTATCAGAACTAAGTGTTAATATACTTACTCCTTTTTTCATATTCTTTCGTACAGAATTAGAATGCAATTTAGCGGTTTAGAAATACATTTATTCAGATGATCATTGCCACCTTCGCGATCCCAGCTTTAAATTCCCCATCTTTATATGATATTTCAATCATTTGTATAAATTCATTCTTGGAGAAGTATTTTGGGTTATGTTCTTAAATGGATAATGAACACGAGAACATCACATTTCTGGTGTTTTCACCCACTATACCTATATTGCAGATTATTTAACGCCTGCACTACTACAGGATTTAAACCAGAATAGTAATTAGTTTAATCATTTTACAAGTGTGGGGAGTTTATAGCAGTTTATTGCGCCTCCTTCAAAGCTATGCTTCTTCAGGATAAAGAGACAAACTGTTATGTTGTATTATATTCGAGAATGTTTAAGCAATCAAGGAGGTGATTTATAGCAATTTTGATGATTTTTAGAAAGCATATTATAATAAAATATCATATTCATTTTTATTTGATTGCGCCCAAAAGAACTTCGGGGTTCATAACTCTAAACACCCCTGTTCAGTTAAGCTAAATTATAAATCATATCACAGGAAATTCAGATAGCGAATTACCATAAATCACGAGATAATTAACCAATAAGACCTGCCTTTCTTGATCTTGAGATAAAATAGCTAAGTTATCATTATAATCAGTCTAACACATTTCTTCATAAAACAGGGTTCCCAGAGAAACTTCTCGCATATAAAAATGGTTTCTATCGAATGGTCAGACTCACCTTCTCATATACAAGGAAATTCTAGATATCACACTACTCCAAATAAGAAGAAATGTTTTGGGGGATGGTATTGCTAGGGTGATAAATGAATGGGAAAGTACGAATTATTTCGCTGGCAAGAATTGCCGTAAGAAATTTTTAAGTCTCACAAAAACGTTTTATGTAAGTAATACCCTTGGATACCAAGAAAGTAATAATAGGATTTCGGTTGTAAAATTTATTAATAAATAAATATATTTCTGATAGTAAAAATACTGTTATGTGATCATTGTAAAGAAATGGTACAAGGTTCTGTTAATTTTTGATCAAACCACGACTTTCATAAAGACCGACGATGGAAGTAATCAGGACTATTACAGCAGTATGGCCAAGAGATGTTACACGCTTGAGAAGTTTTTCCCACCATGCTTTATCATCTATATCGATGTCTACACGATTTATTAAATAAGATAAGTCCGTTATTAGTCATAAAGATATCAAATAAAAATAAAGCTTTCTCCTAACTCACCAAGTCTCTTCCTACGGGCCATAGTATACTCCTCTGAAGTTATTAATCCTTCATTATAGCAATTCTTGAGTTCAGTAAGATCATCTTGAAGCTGGCCCATGTTTCTAGGTTTCAGAAATACGTTCTATCGAATAAATATTGCTAGGTTACTCGAAAACTTCAGGAAATTGATTTTGAATCAAAGTTCCGGCCTATTTATTATTAAGTGTTCATAGAGATTACCTTAAAAATTTACGGATTGTATTTCCGTGTTATACAAATAAACAGGTTTAAACAGGTTTTGATGTTTCAACTTCGCAAAACAAACTCTTTACGATTATGGTTAAGCTCACAAATATTACCTTCTAGATTTCTCTTTTGGGGATTAAGCAGGTTTTGAAGTGTCTGATGATTCTGCTGACTACAGATATGATAAAAGTGCAAACTCCGAAAACTTGCCACAAAATGGATCTCTATTCAAAATTAACAGAGAACCAACAACAATTCAAATCTGGCGAAATCGATGAGGACGAATTTAAGAAGCGTAAAAAACTGATACTAGATAAGTGGACGGACAAACCGAAGAAAACCAAAAAACTTGAACATTCTTATGGTAAGTGTCTCTTACCTTGTCACCCATATAAAAGCGCTTATCCCGCCAATGCAATAAATCAAAAGAAACAGACTTGTATGCGGTTCTCCAATTGACACCCAGCGCTACTGAAACTGAAATTAAATCAAGTTATAAGAAACTCGCTCTGAAGTATCATCCTGATAAGAATGGCGGTGTCGAAACCGAAGAGGTGTGCGTTGGATTTTATTTCTTTAATATCATCCTTATATTAACTCAACGTTCTAATTACAGTGGACTAAACTATCGAAGGCATATCAAATCCTTTCAGATGAGAACAGTCGCATACTTTACGATAATCACGGAATAGTCAGCGACGGTAGATCTCAACCTTTGTTATATTTGATAATTTTTAGTTGTCTTGATTCATCTAATTTGAATTGGTTTTAGCCTTTGCAAATAAAGCATCGTTCAACTGCTATGTAGGAGGGGAGCTTTGGAAACCCTACATCGGTGACCTGGAAATTGGTCTCTGGATGTACTCATTTATAGATAGCAATAGTTTATCCGAATTAGAACATGTAACCTCGGCTGAGCAGAAAGAACGTCGTCATGTCATTCGTGTTTCTAACATTGTTCGTCACCTACAAGACAAACTTTCTCAATTCCCGGTGCAAAATAATTCTTCAGAGTTTGAGTCGTTTAAGCAAAGTCTTTACCAAGAAGTCCAGAAACTTCTTGCGGAACCTAACGGCAAAGAGTTATTATCCTTACTCGGCGAAATTTACATTTCCGAGTCAAAAACTTATCTAAGCAGGTTCTCCATAAACATATTATCTAATCTTTTTAATAGCTTTACGTTTACTTATAACTTAATTCATGGATTCGTAACAATCAAAGCTAGTAATTTGTCAGGAATGAAACAAGAGGAGGTAAGAAGACATTGAATTTTCTCTACAACAAAAATATTTTATTATTAAGGATACATTTGAAAATCTTAGATCATAAAAATAACCTGGAGACTTTCACGATCAGAAATATCTTCCATCACGTATGAAACCTGTAAGAAAATTCTCAATAACAC